AGAATAGGATCCATTTTATGGAGCCAGAGGCGTAGCCAGAAATGGTTTTGAAGTAGGGGGAAACGAGCACTTATCCTAATCTACTTATATGTCACCGAATACACCCCGAGATTTATAGCACCAACATCTGTAAGGCGTGCCATACAAACACAGCTACGCTGAAACACGGGCTCTGAAAATGCGAGGCTCAAGCGAAGCGTATTATTTCTGACGTTCTTTCGGCGAGGTGGGAAGCCGCTCTGTGAAGCTACAAGCTCGCCGACCAACTCTAGACAATCTGACAGACCCGTGAAGCAGCATAGAGGCAATGCTTTGATGTCGCGACATGGAAGACCTGAGCCCGGGCCACTAATTTGCCGGACAATAAAGTTTTTCCACCGCCACCAAGGGGGGGGGGGGGGGAGCGGAAAGGGCGGAGGCGAGGGTGTTCGACCATACTCTATGATTGTTCGTTCCCTCCTCTTCTCTTCTGAATTGAAAAAAAAATTAGAAGTAGGGGGGGGGGGGGGGGGAAGGTACTTGAATGTTCCAAACTCCTCCTAAGCTACGCGACTGCCGAGCATTGCAGCGCAATAATTTTTGTCTCTAAGCTACCGCTGTGCTTCTAATGTACAAACGGGCCCACTGTTAAAGAAAATGCTGCGTGCATGGTTTGTTTAAGATCAACTCTCTTGCAAAAACATAATCGCTTAGATTTGCGTGAAACTATGACCTATTACCAGATTTCTTTTGACAAACTAGTGACCTGAATGGATATTGTTTACTCGTGCACTTGCTGTCAGGGGGCAGGCAGTACCAACGGTGATCGTTGCAGTGTTCCCTTTAACAGGGGACGGTCCTGTACGCAGGATTGTGGCGACCGTATTTAGCAATGTCCCAACTCAAGCACCTGCCTACAATAACAGAGATACCGATTTTGGGGCTCTCTCTATGTAAGTCTTCCCTTTCAGATTAGGTGATAAAAACAGGTTTCTAGATCTGGTTTTCTGACGGGCTCTTAGAAGAACAAAATAGAAAAAAGAGGTGGCTCTACTTCCCCATTTCGCGGATATATCTATCAACGCAGACAAGAAAAAGTGAGGGGTGATGTGCAGAGACTGTCTCCTGTTCAAACTTTATTCACTCCGTTCAGCGCTGAAAGCAATAAATCACGAAGAAGAAGCGGTGGTGTGAATTATGCTGCGGCAACCTCCTTACAAAAAGACGTCGCATAAACCGCGCGGGGGGACGCTCACTTAAATGAGCCTGCGGTCAGAACCTCTATCAACATTTGCATTCATGGGTTCCATTCACACAAGAAGGTAGTGGCTCCATTTTAAGGGATCCCAAACCGGAAATTCGCCTATCGTTTCAAGATCGCCCTTCTGCCGCAACGCCCTCACTTATTTGCTTTTTTTTTGTTTTTGGCAATACATTTCGTGACTTGAAGCAACGCGCTTCCAAGCCGAGATAAATCCTCAAAAAAGTAAAAACAATAAGAAAAAAAAACACGTGCCACGCGACGTAAAAGAAATATGTTTAAAACGACTATGACGGGGACCAGCTGAAGCGTTGTCACCGATTCAAAATCAACACCGGGAACCTATTTTCTGTTGAATCTGTAGCCTTCCATTTCGCGACATGAAATATAAAGCAAGTGTAGTAAAGCAACACGCCAGGCCTCAAGCGCAGATTGCATCAGATACGGTTCGGCGTAGGGTAAAGGAAACAACCCGAGAGGCTTCGAAAAACGAAAAAGCCGCGATGAGTCAGGGTCAATGGCTAATCCATGCAAATGGCTCGCCCAGGAGATGTGTGTCCGTCCGCCTGCAGGGCTTAATCCGAGGAGATTAGGGGAAACGTGCCAACAATGGTGAATGCGTTTCGGAAGCGCCCCCACCGTATCGGAACCCACCGTTGCGCTTGCTCTCAACATGCTCGGCAAGTGCACGCTCAGATTACGCCTCGTGGCTTCAAGTGCAAAAATAGCAACAAAAATATGGCTCCCCCGTGAATGAGATGACTGCAGAGGATGAGGGCAGTGCAAACAATGGACTTATGTATGCGTAAAGGGAAGTGACGTAGACTAATGACGCTACTGAAGCACGCTGTTTTGGCTGTCTAGCGCTTCAACTTTTGGCTTCTTCAGCAGACGACGCTACCAAACGACCGAGCAAGCGACGATACGTACCGTCTGCTATCGCGTGTCGTTTCTTTGCTCCCGTCTTCCTATCTAGGTGCGGTAGTTTTTTTTTTTTTTTCATGTTTTAAAGCACCAAAGAACGCGCAAGAGTGAAATTCTGAGCCTTTAGAGTGATCAAGACTTTGGATGCAGTTGTGATTAATGATGGAGGACAACGAAGCTGACGCGCCACTGGAAAGACATCAGGGGATGCATCATAGAGCGTGGTTCACTTCGGATAAAGGCTTCCAAAAAGCTTCACGTCATTGAACTCCTATTTCTCAATCCCATCATCACTAGGAACACATATAGAAGCATTTGTTGAATTTTTCTTTGCTTGGGTACCAGCAGTATTGGGAATCCAGTAGCAAAGAGCCATGTATCTCAAGAAAAAACGCAATAAATGGCTCAAATCGTGGGATATTTTTCAATTGGAAAAATTGCGTAATCTCAAGCGACACTGTTTATTGCCCGCTGTTTTCTGGCTTTCCACTTAACAATGAATACATATCTTACGTGCCGTGTTCTACCCATTTGAATATTTGATAATTAGTTAATTGCACTCCTTCAGGGATCGAAGCTCTACTGATAATCTAATGTAATATTTTCGTACGAGTGTTACACTTTCTGAGCTGAACATGTCGCCGTACGTCAGAACGGATAAGTTTGTCAACTCATACAATAAAAGCTGCCCTTAGCTGAAAAAAAAATTTTTGCAGAACCCACGTACGTGGGAATCGGCGTACTGCGAAGCATGCGTAGAGAAGGTGACCTAGTTTCAGCTTTTTTTTTATTGAGCGACACGTCATCAAATGACGCTAATTTTATGTAGAACTGTTTCCGCACAAACATATTTTCAAGAGTTGCAGATGTTTATGTAACCAGTTTTTTGCACTAACGCAACGATGTAAACTGGAACATGTGTATTAGCAGCACCAGAAGCTGTTATGAGGCGCTGATACTCGCGAAGATGATACTCGCGAAGATGATACTCACGAAGATGCTGGCGTTGGACACTGTTCCATAAATCAACTTCAGGGCATGGCACATAACCACAATTAACATTAACCCGACGTGACGGCTTTATCACAGGAGTGCATATGTAATTTTGATAAAATTAGGTAGGCAGTACTGCAACCACTATTGACGTTTCACGAATATTACCGTCTATTTGAAAAGTAGTTTTGAGGCCTGGCGTAGCTCTGCGATAAAATGCTTCACTGCCACGCATAATGCTTGGGTTCGACTCCTGCTGGGACCCTAAAATTTATTATTTGCATTCATCGGGGGGTCAACGTTGTATATTTCCGGGTTTTCTCAGCACTTACATTTATTCTGTCATCGTTGGGTCGACGCGACCGCTATCGGGTATTTCTTAACGCTTACGCGTTAAAATTGCCCAAGTGTGTTTTCATCGTTCCTAGGTTGATACTAAATTTCAATCACCTGTGGAACATAACCGCATACAAGCGGCACATACCCAACCGTGGGTATGTGCCACTGTCTGACGGCAAGGGTTTGACGACGTACGTGACTGGATTGTGAGATTATTTGTCTTGACCAGCGTGTCATATTCGTCAAACCATCTTACCCTCCCATGCTAATTTCGGTTCGCGTCAAGTTAGAGGGGTGACCACGAGAGCACCCAAACATAAGCGCTATATAGATAGATAGATAGATAGATAGATAGATAGATAGATAGATAGATAGATAGATAGATAGATAGATAGATAGATAGATAGATAGATAGATAGATAGATAGATAGATAGATAGATAGATAGATAGATAGATAGATAGATAGATAGATAGATAGATAGATAGATAGATAGATAGATAGATAGATAGATAGATAGATAGATAGATAGATAGATAGATAGATAGATAGATAGATAGATAGATAGATAGATAGATAGATAGATACGCTCAAAGTCGCCGAATTTCGCTGAGAAATTCTTCGCATTAAAAAAAACACAAAGGTTGTGCACTAAACTTTTACTTGTGCCTTACTTGCGCAGACTAGTTTGAATGCTCTCTCCAGTGACATTCGCCAGCTAACAAATTAAATTTTAATGGCTGTTTTCTTAAAATACAGATAATTAGTTTATGTCGAGTTTTAAATAACTAATGCGGTAGCAAAGGGAAAGTTCACCGACGTAAACGCGAAAGAACGACCAAAGAAATTCGAAAAAGAAACTCTAACTCAAGCTAAAAGTTATTTTTTAACAGCATATACGAATCATTATTTATGAATAATTTATTATTATGATTATTTCATAATATATGAATATAATATATTATAATATATAAATCATTATTAGGAATCGTTATTTATGATCGAAGTGCGACAATTTTCTGCACTGATGTAGTTTGGGTTCCTATTATTTTAGCTGCTAGATTCTCGATCATGGACATGGTACCTTCAAAGGTCCATTTGGCACGCATAAACTTCGCTGCAACTATAATCTCTGCTTGGTGCTCACGAAACAACTGGGCGAAAAAAAAGTATGAACTGCTATGGTGAGCGTGGGGAGACCTGTTTCCCGCGATGCTCGACAGGAGCGGAAGTGGCGTAGCTGTCGCGCTGATCGGCGCTTCTCCTCCCCACCCGATAGAAAGATGAGAGAGAGGAATAAACAAAAAGAAGAGGTAAAGAGGCACGCGACGGAAAACGGGCGGCGTTGGGGAGCTCCAGCCGAGTTTCGCTCCGAGCTCAGCATCTGTGCCAGTCGTGGCTCTGGTCTGCTCTGAGGGAGGTCATAAAGCGACGCTCTCTTCATATGCGGTGATGCGCTGTGTAGCAAAACGCGCTGCTGTGGCAGAGCAGTCATAAGATAAGGCTACGAGGATGTATTCGCTGGTGAAGAGCGTTAGAAAACGCCGGATAATCATGGAATATTTTGTAAAGACGCTGGAAACGTGAACTTCGAGTATATGCGATCAGCTGTAGCATCCCCGTTGTGCAAGAGCCAAAACAACATTATGTGTCATTGATAAGCGTAAGCGATGGCAATCGCTGAAGATGAAAGGAGCTCCAATTGTTTGCAATCATCCACTGGACTGTTAGAAATGACAACGCGGTAAAGTAACATTTAGAAAAACAAGCTTTGTCACCGGAACCAGATATGCAGTCGACACGTAGGTGTTCTGAACACATGTTTCGGTTACTTTACTACTGTTTGTTGCTGACTCTGACAACCGGAAAGGCATCTATATTTACGATGACGGGGAAGGAGACGACGCTGATTGACAGACCAGACGGCGTCGAGGCAGGTGATGTCCCGAGCTACGAAACGATGGCAGAGGAACCTGCTGGCCAGCACCCAGGTGGAGAGAAAACAAACGGGGCACCATCGGAACGAAGTGGCGATGCAGAGAAATTGGAAAGGCGGTTGCCCAAAGCCTTGATTATCGGTGTTAAGAAAGCAGGCACGCGAGCGCTGCTGGAGTTCCTCAGGTTGCATCCCGACGTCAGAGCTACGGGTCCTGAAACCCACTTCTTCGACCGCCACTACAACAAAGGCATCGAGTGGTACAGGTAAGTGGGTGTTTCACAGGAAATCCGTAACATTCTAACTGTAAGATGCAGGTGTATTAAACTATAATATCAATCATGGTTCATGCAAGAACACCGTCAACAGAGCGGACTAACTGAGAGCTCGCACATATTTCACATGTTCCCATTTTTACGACTGTGATATACGGCTCCGTGCAGGCTGAAAAATATGTAAGTAAAGCAGTTCACATCGCAGATAAAACCTCCTCCAAATATTTCCACTGCTACTTCAAGAAATACTTCGACAACTTGTAAGATTTAGAAATCGAGCCAAATATTACAAGGCATCGTTACAACACTGTAAATGTACTATAGCCGTACGTTCTTTAGGGAATAGATGCATTCCGCGTAGCAATATTACGTAATGGTTTAGGCTACTTATCGAACCGCAATTTGATAAAAACAACGAAATTACGCAGAGTTGTTGACGGCTGAACATATAGTTGGAAATCTAAGGTGTGTTTTATTCAGTTGACTTTAACTGTCATTGCTCTGTTATTAATCATTTATTGCTTTCGAAATTACCGTTTTCGCTAAATGTTTTATATATAACGTCCACTGCACAGGCAGTGCGGAGGATATTCAAGGATAATTTAGCTTCCAATCTCGTGCTTTATAAAAAAATACACTTTTAAATATTAAATTACCGTGGACAAGCAGACCCCTGTTGTCGCCGATAAATCTCCCTTTATTTCTCTTCAAGGGTTTGACAACATTGCCAATATCTAAAATATTTGTGCTACAGAATATTAGATGCAGTAGTGTCTTGCAACGTATACTTATCATTACAAGCATATCTGTTCGGACATATAAATAACTTCGGAGGACATTTTCCTTCACTATGACTGAGAGAGTCGCCATTTCATATCCTAAACAAATTGTGATGGGAAAGTCGCCTGTGAAACTGTGTCATGAATGATATTTCACCTTGAAGACACTTCTAAGACGCTCCGTTAGTGTCAGAGTGCCAATATATAGTGTCGAGCCGTCCCCAGCACAACCGTGTAATAGCGAAGACTCACGCGTTCTCTCTTTGCAAAAGGCTGACGCTATCGTTGCGTGACATCTGTTGACTACTTTGCGATAAGCTTCTCTACAGCTTATTGCTAAAGTGTACAGGACTGGATCTCTCTGCATGCGTTAAAAAAGAGGCTTATTGGCCCCAAATAACTTTTTCGCTCTACTTTTACATCTTACAGGCAAAACATGCTGTAGAGGCAACTTTAGCGTGCCTTGTTGATGGAAAACAGGATTAGTCAAAAGGCTTACTTACGTTTTCCACAAAGTCATGTTGCTTTTAATTATTTGTTTGTTTCGGGTTGAATGACGAAGTTTTATGTGCATGCACATTGCTGTGTGTTGAGCACGTTTACACATTAGCAATGCTTAATATTGAACGCGATATGACGAAAGCGGAAGAATAGTCTAAAATAAAAAAAAATATTGGAGCTGTAGGTAACAAACTAGTGCTGCGAGGTGGAGACAGGTCAAAATCTGTTGAATTTACTAAATATACTACAAGTATACGTAGGACAAAAATAAAGAAGGTATGAATTTTCATTGTCCCACTTACACCTATCGCATCAGCGTTGGGTTAGTTCGTGGGTGCTTGACTAGCTGAAGAATACTACATTGGCTTCACTTGCTTGCTGGCCTTCAACTTTGTTGTAAGCGTCTGCATTAGGCATTATGCGTGATTGTGTAAAAAAATTCGAAAAATGAAAAAAACTGCCCTTGGCCGACATGCGTCTACAAAATTTGTTGTTTTTTCCAATGCCGTTTTATGTGCTTTTTTGCAATGTCGTCCTATCTTACAGGAAAAACACGCTTTACAGGCAACTCTGTAGCATAGTGTGTGATGTGCTGTCAACCTAAAGCTTTAGGCATCTGTTCTTTCTTTCATTAAAACAAGGACTTGTAAAGAAAACGATGCTGTTAACGCCTGTATCTAGACCTCTATATATCGAACATAGAGAAGTAGACGGAAAAAAGGGTAGAAATCAAAACATAACTACGTTGTGTCATGCATGAAATACGGATAATTTGTAAAGGCGTAAAAAAGTGATTTACCTTCCTTCAATTATTTTAAAAAGATCAGTTGCCATAAGCCTGACTGCTCATAACGAAATTCGATTCGTAATACTAGCGATTAACGTGCCTTATAACAATATATTCTTTTCTTAAACTTGAGGTGCCAACTCCTGAAAATAGTAATAATAAATCCGAAACCCGAGCTCTCTCGATAAGATAGTGGAGCGCAATGTACGACGACGACGACATATGAAGGCTCATCGAACACAAAGAGGCCAAATGAACCAACGGGACTAAAGAACACACATTTATGAAAATATGTCAGCCTATATGATTCATTGATAGTTCCAAAGGGACCGGTAACACAGGGACAACACAACATTTGCCTCTGTACAATCAGGTAAACATACAAAAGGAGCAGTTTACTGTTTTCAAGCAAGTGGTCTGTTCATTGAATTGGTAGTCAAAGAACTAAGTAATGTGGACATTACTGTAAATATTTCCTGCGACATCTAGGCTTGCTCTTTGGTGCGTTTTATCTTTTCCTAGAACGTCGTTCTTGAAGTCGCCATTAGCTAAAACGTAGCTTTAAAAAAGTCGCATTGTTTTCACACTTTAATCTAGTTTGAACTAAAATAAACGCTTCTTTGTCCTCACACGTATGAGGAAGTTGTGCCTGTTATGCATGTATGCGGCATATGCGCATTTCATTTCGAATATTTAATATTCGAATATTAAATTTTGAGGAACCAACATTCTTTTTTTTTAAAACGGTCTTTCCAACTTTTGTTGCGCTTACAAGAAATGTCCTTGCTCGGGCAAACCGGACGTGATCTGCTTCAATAATAAAAGACACCATGTATCTAAAAAAATACTTCTTAACCACGTCCGCAGCACACCTTCTAACAACCAAATGCCTTTCGAATGACCCGGGCCCAGAGGTGTACGGAACGATACCTCGCCCCCTTTTTTTCTCGCGTCACGTTCCCTCATGCGTGTCGGGCAATGAAAAAGGAATCATGGCTTCCCCGAAGGGAACAGCTCGACAGAACACGTAGTGTAGCCCGGAGCAAACATTGAGTGCTTGCAATCGAGCTCCTTAAGGCGTCGCGAGCCCCTGATTAAGTAGAGCACGGAAAAAAAAAAGAAAGTATAGGAGGAGGGCAAACACACGGGGAATCAAATAGTTGGCGGCGGTGGCAACATCGAGCTGTGTTCTCCGTTGTCGCAATGTCTGCCTGTGTTAGGGCAGACAGCCCGGGAGATAAAGGAGGCGGGGGAAGAGAAGGTTGGACGGTAATCAAAAGGTGCGTTGCGTGTGGCGGCCGCCAGCTGGAAAGGCGATTAATAAACAGTAAATGACACGAATTAGAGGGGAGAGCGCGACAGGTCGTAAGCGAAGTGGGGAGGAAGCCTGGCCTTTATGAGTCTCGTGAACACTGACTACCCGTGCTTTTATTCTTTTTTCTATTGTTCTCACGGGATGACTTCTTTTTGTCTCTTTTTTTCCTATTCCTCTTCAATCAGTGAGCAATGCTGAATCACTATTTTATTATTTTTTGGCTGGCACGTGATCTATGGGCTGACAGTGCTCTCTTTTTTTTTCTATTTCGACCGGGTGACGTAGTTATTTAGTCGAACCACTTACGGGGACGCGCGCTACGCTGAAACGGATGTAGATGGACTTTAAAGATTTCTGTACTTCATTTAAGGGTATATTTCTGGTTCTGCGTGCTCTGAGTAGACTTCTGGGGCAATTTTTGAAGAGGGTGAATTGTACAAAGGCTTTTATTTTCTGATAAATATCTACTTTTTTTGCCTGTAATCTATTTCGGAAACTTTAGTTTTTCGAAAAATAAATTGTTTGAAAGCATCAGTGATGGAGCCAATGGTAATGAGTCCTGATACTTTGTCACTGTCTTTTGAATTCAAGTGCCGCATCATAAGCTGTGCTTACAAAAACTTGATAAAATGTTGAGATTTTTTACTGCGTTCGATTTATAATCAAGCAGCACTACACTGAAGGCGTTTTTTATTGGGATAAGGTTTCACTTTAAGGCTTAATGCTGTTTGTGTACGTGTGTATTAGGTGGGTGCGGTGAAGGCTGTTTTGTGTATGATTTAAGGAGTTTGTAGTCGAATGTATTGCGTGTTCAGTGGTCATAGCTGGTCACGATACTGTAGAAAAGCATCTTGCTGCGCATAAAATTATTTTAGTTGCGGTTGAGTTGGAGCCATTTTTATCTTTTTTTTGGTATTGAGAACAATTGAATGCCAGGTCACGGGATTATATCCCGGCTGCGGCGGCCCCACTTTTGATGCAGGCGAAAAAGCTGTTGGCCCGTGTGCTCAGACTTGGGTGCACGTTAAGGAACCCCAGCTGTTGGAAATTTCCGGAGTCCTCCACTACAGCATCTCTCATAATCATATGTTAGCATAGGGACGTGAAACCCTCTATATAAATCAATACTAGAAAGCCTGCACACATTTAGCCTAAAGATTTACTGGAAAAAAAATTGTGCACGCGTTCCCGAAACGTCCGAATAAAATATAATTTTAATCACGCATTTCACTAGTGATTCATCGCCTGATGCCACAGGAACTTGTTTCTTGAAAAGTGCTAACATTTGCAAGTAACTTATTTTCTTGTGATAACCAAAAGCGAAGTTCATACATATACAGTAAGATGTGCAGTGAAAAAAAGTACATTGCACATGGACACTCGTTAGCTCCTTCATGGCAGCAGATGTATCTGTAATGCCACACCTCAGAGAAGGCCACGTCTAAGTGCAGACTGAATGCCGCTAGAACCCAGGCTTTTGCCCTTTCTGTTTGTGCTATGAGCAACTTGTCACGCTAACAATATTGTTAACATTGTTAACAATATTTATAACATTGTGCTGTCCATGGGATAGTTTTAGCATTTTGGGGGCACACTAGAGTGTTACAAT